TTATAAAACATACCTGGTGGCTCACGCCTGTAATCCTAGCTACATGGAAAGTTGAGGTCAGGAGGATCAAAGTTCAAGGTCAACCCAGGCAAATAGTTCCCAAGACCCCATCTCCAAAATGGATTGGAGGTGTGGCTCAAATGGTAGAGTGCCTGCTTTGCAAGGGAGAAGCCCTGAGTTCAAACTCCTGAGTTCAAACTCCAGTTCCACCAAACAGATGGATGGATAGACAGATAAGATAGATAGATAGATAGAGATGATAGGTAGATAGAAAGACAGGGATTTTTTGTTGCTTGGGGTTTTTTTTCTTTTGCAGTACTGGGGTTTGAACTCAGGGCCTCATGCTCGCCAAGCAGGTGCTCTACCACTTGAGCCATGCTCCCAGTCTTTTTTTTTTTTTCTTTCTGCTTTTTGGTTATTTTTCATGTAAGGTTTGCTTTTTGCCCAGGGTTGGCCTTGCACTAGAATGACAGGTGCACTCCGCCATTCACAGCTTGTTTGTTGAGATGGGGTTTCACTAACTTTTTGCACAGACTGGCCTCAAACCATGGTATTCCCTACCTCAGTCTCCCGAGTAGCTGTGATTACAGGCGTGAGCCACCACGCCTGGCCCACTAAGGTTTTATGAGAGAAAACTCATGGTAGCGCTCACAAGGAAGGATGATCTCACTACTTCTTCCTCCTCTGCCAGCCCTGCCTTCACAGAGTGCGACTCACACACCAGGGGAGTGCTCCCCAAACGAGGTGGGGACGCCGGCCAGACTCCTGCCTGTGCAGATCTCGGTAAGCTGTTTGTCGCTTCCTGTAACCAGAGAACTGCCACATCCCTGCCCTCCTGGACCGGCTCAGACACTGCCCTGGGCTCCCCTTTGCTGCCTTCTTCTCTTCTGTAATCCCTACCTCTCATCAGCACCTCCATCATCGTCCCTGTCCTTGCATCATTTTCTTCAGGGTAGCTACTGCCACCTGGTGGTTAAGTGTGTATTTACGTGTTCATCACAGGCAGGTCCTGCGTCTGTCAGAGAGAACTTCCCGGTTGGCTGTTCACTGATGGACAGTGTGCACTTTATGTACGTGGACAGCGGTGCCACAGCCTACCTGGAAGCCATGTCCCTTCTGATGCTAACACCCCTGGTTTCTCTTTAGGGTCCCTTGTCTTCCAACCACTCCTCCTGTCCTCCTCCAGTCATGCCCAGGGCCCCAAGGTCTGGTTCATGGCTGAGCATGAGACTCAGGCTTGGCCAACGAGAATCAGTACTGGGACTTTTGCTTAGACTCCAGGATTGCTGGACTGTGGGACAGATGCCTCAGTGTGCCCTGTGGCAAATGAGAGGTCAGGGAAGGTGATTGGTATCACCAAGGTAGAACCATGTGGATGGAGGTTCAGCTCGGCACGCCAGACAACAGACAGGCCGTATTTCCTCCTAGCAGCAGCAACACCACTCACATGAGCACAAGTCTCTCTCTCTCTCCTATCCCCCCCTTTCTTCTCTCTCTTTCTCCTCTGTCTCTCTCTCTGTCTCTCTCCTCTCCTCTCCTCTCCCTGTCTCTCTCCCTTCCCCTTCTTCCCCACCCCCGTGTCTCCCTCTTCTCTCTCCTCTCTCTGTCTCTCTCTTTTCATATACACATGTATTTTTTTCTCTTTTTCTGGTGGTACTGGGGTTTGAACTCAGGGCCTTTCACTTGCTAGGCAGACACTCTACCACTTGAGCCACTCCCCCAGTCTTTTTTTCTTTAGTTAAGCAGGTCCAGCCTGAACTGCATCCTATTTATCTTTCCTGTGTACCTGGGATGACAGGTACACACAGCTTTACCGATTGAGATGGGGTCTTCCTAACTTCTTCCCCCAGGCTGACCTGAAACCTCAATCATCCCGATCTCTGCCCCCAGAGTAACTAGATTATAGGTGTCAGCCACCACACCTGGTCATACACATGCATTATTTTCAAAACCATTGATCATAGACTTCACACTTCACAGGACTCACCGCTAAACAAACACTTCACAGATCTCACCCCAGACACTTCAATTGGTGTCTCCTAAGAATAAGATTTTTTTCTGTTTTTTTGTTTCATTGTTTGAGACAGGGTCTTACTCAAACTCACAGTCTCTGCCTCCCATATGCTGGGATTATGGGTGTGCACCACCACACCTGGCAAGAATATTGTCTTATGTAGCTGAAACGCCCTTAATGTTTTTCATTCATTTAAGTTTTTAGATTTTTTTTGGCACTTTTGGGTATCCAATCAGGGCCTTGCATATGCTAGGGAAGCACTCTATCTCTAAGCTGCACCCCAGCCCTACCTTTGTACTTTTAACAACTGTACAGTGCTATTCATCAAACCTGCTCTGAGAGTGCAGTGGCTCACACCTATGACCCTGGTTATATGAAGATCAGGAGGATCAAAGTTCAATACCAATCCAGGCAAAAAAGTTCGTGAGACCCCATCTCAACCAATACGCTGGGTTGGGTGTGGTGACCTGCACCTGTCATCCCAGCTATGTGGGAAGCATAAATAGGAGGATCACAGTTCCAGGATGGAACTAAAGCAAAAAGGGCTGGGGGAGGGCGTGTGTGATCAAGTGATAGAGCTCCTGCCTAGCAAGTGCAAGGCCCTGAGTTCAAACCCCACACCACCAAAAAAAAAACCAACCAAAACCTTACTCTCAACATTCCAGTCTTGCCTATCTGTCATGTTTAGCTTTCTTTCCCCTCCAGTACAGGATCCTGTCTAGGGCCAGGCAGCATTTACTAGTCATGAGAAAGGATCCTAGCATCTGAACGTTCCACAGACTTCTTTACCTTTTATGACAATGACATTTTCAACAACTAGAGTCAGAGCTCTGTTGCATTTTGGCGCTTTTTTTTTGCCATTTTCCTGTAAATTTAGATTCAGGTGATATGTTCCTGCCCAGAGTGTCACACGGGTGATCTGTGTGTCCTGTGGGCCTCAAATTTGGATCTACAAAAGGTGAGTATTCTGTTATCATTGGTGACACTAATTTTGATCCACTTGGTCTGCTTCCCCACCACCAATCCTTTCTAATTTTTCCCCCTTGTAACTGATAAAAAAAAAATCAGTGGGAAGAACTTTTAGATCAAATAGGAGTGGGAAGTATTTTGATTGGTCTGTTGTGCATCACATGATCACCACTGAGCCAATCAACAACTGAAGCATGCAGGACTCTCATGGGCCCAGCCTGGGTCACATGCTCATTCCTGAAGGCAAGGGAAGGGTCTCTTGGAGTAAGACTGTGGTTCACCTGTGGGGGCTGTTTTCCCTCAAGGGGACATTTGGAGATGTCTAGAAATATTTCCAACAACACTGTCACAAGTAGAGGGCCAGTGCTATGGGCAGCTAAAGGATAGAGACCAGGGATGCTGCTGAAGCCCACAGTCACAGCCAGCCCTACCCTTAGGATGGATGGAACCAACTCTAAGTGAGCAGAGGCTGAGAAACCCTGGGCTAGGGAAGGATGACTCTGCAAAGGAAGAGACACAGAGCAGAGACCCAACCCTCCAACCCACAATGCCTCACAGCTGGGAATGCAGCTGGTTTGAATTCTGTCTCAGCCACTACCATCTGTATGATCTTCATTTATTTCCTTAAGCCTTCCATGCCTCGGTTTACTCATCTGTAAAATGGAATTGGCCATAGGATCCCACCTCAGGGGTATTACAATGGTTAAGTGAGTGTGAATTTGTGCATTTCTTAGAACATGCCTGTTTATAGAAGTGCTGTGACATAGATGGTCAGAAATTTATAATACACTTCTAACCCTGGCCTTCTGATGCCTCCTTCTCTTTTTCTTTTTATGTTTCTACCATTCATTAGCCACAGTTTGCAATTTACATAAGGAATCATGGGTTTCTTTGTTCCATAAAATAGATCCAATAACACCACCAAGCTACCTGCTCAGATCCCAGAGGATCAAATGAGCTCAGCTTGCATGCACACAGGGAAATCTGTCACAGCCCTCACCTCACCCCAGCTATAACTGTGACCCCCATGTCATTTCAGCTTGGCCTGGGTTGCCAATGGAGAGACTCACTAAACACCCTCCACGTTCAGACCTCATCACCCTGAGCCTCCTTTTCTCTCTTCTAGCTCTGCACTCAGCTTAGCAGTGCTAGAATTTTCCAAGCAATGTCAGGGAGAAGACCAGCTGTCTGCCCCATTCCTGATCATCATGAGTGAGGCAAGTTACTGAAGCCTTCTCACCTCAGTTTACTCTTTTGTAAATAGAGAAGTGACAACCGAGTCTACTGGAGGGCTATCCATCAGTCATACTCTCCACTGAATAGAACAGCCCTGGTGGAAGTTGCTATGGCTACCGATCCCTCACCAAGTGCCAGCATTGTGGTAGGTGCTTTAATACTGAAAAAGAAGTGACAGTATCATTACAAAGTCAGACAGTTTTAAGAATCAGGCTAAGACAACAGGAGTTAAGTAACAGTTGGTGTGTTTCCAGCTCTTTGTAAGTGATGAGTGTTGTTAATCCATCCTTGCCTTGGCTTAACGTGCCTGATCCTCACCCTTCCCTAAGAGGCAGTCCTATTAGCTAGTCTTCCCATCTTACAGACATGGAAACAGAGGCATGGGAAGTCGCTTGCTCAATAGTCCGGTCCCCAGTCCTCTGGCAAAGGCAGATTTCAAATCCAGGCAGTTGGACCTCAGCCCCACACTATGGGAAGCACACTCCAACCATGGCGCTAACTTTCTTTTCTTCCTTGTCTTCTCTTCAAGCTGTTCCATTTGCTTCGACTTCCACTTCCTTCTGGGTGACTTCCGCTCTGCTCTGCCTCACAGGCTCCTCCTCGTCCTTGGAGACTCAAACATTACCTACTCTTTCAAGTCTTCTGTAGAGTTCCAGAAAATGCACACGTGCCGACGTCACCTCAGCATGTTCTGCCTCCTTCTTCTACCTGCCGTGTCACATGTGATGTCCCTGGGGCTCTGTCCATCTCTCTGCGCCCTGCTCTGCACTGCGAGCCTCCGAAGGGCACAGGTTTGGCTGCTGTCGTGTGAGAATCACAAACACAGCTGCTTGAATAGAATGAAGTTGATTCCCCTCTCGTGTGATAGTCTCTGGGTGAATGTCCAGGGCCAAGCAGTGACAGCCACATGGGCTCTTTTGATCTTTTCACTCTTTATAAGGCTGAGGAGGGTTCACCCATGTACAGTTCACATTCTGGTCCAAAGGGGGGCATGTGGGGAAGGAAGGACATGCTTTGATCCTTCTAAAAGCAAAGATGCACCTATCACTTTTTTTTTGAAGGAGTCTCTCACTCTGTCGCCCAGGCTGGCCTTGATCTTGCAATCCTCCTGCCTCAACCTCCTGAGTGCTGGGATTGCAGGAGTGTACCACCATGCTGGCTGAGACTAATACTTCTGCTTATACCCTCTTGGCTAGAACATAGTCACATGATCATATCTAGCTGCAAAGGATGCTGGAGAATGTAGTCTTTGGCTAGGCAGCCATGCACTCTACTACACCTTCTATTATTATAGCAAAGTAGAATGGATACTTTGTCCACTGCAGCCCTGATCTGTTATCAGGGCTTATCATGCCCAGAACCAAGCCATGAAGAACATATGAATGAATTAAGTGACTCTCCAAGCCTTTGTCTGTCTCCCATTGACTATGACCCCCCCACACACTTTTTAAACAAATATTTAGAATAGTGAACACTTCTCAAACATTGACCACATGCCCAATCTGAACTAATTTCTTTACCTGCATTTACCTTCTTGATCCTCACAACAACCCCAAGGGGTAAGTACTGTTATTGCCCCTACTTTAGATATTAAAAAAATAGAAACAGATCTTAGATTACATGCCTTATGTCACACAGGTAATAAGTAGCCAAGCTAGGATTCAATTCCAGGAAGTCTGGCTCTTGAGTCTGTGCGCCTAGCCATCATTGGAAACTACCTCTCAGATACAGAAATTGGGAGATCTACAAATAGCCAGACAATGGGTGTGCAAGATCCTCTTCTGGGTGTCGATGCTTCCAACAAACCATAGAATATGCTCGTTCACATCTTCAGTACCACGTGAGCACCTGTAACGTGCATGCTGCTGTTATCTGTTGCCGTGGTAATACTGCATAGTAAGCATTCATAGGACTTCAGAGACACACAGATATAGCTGTTACGTGGCTCTGCTGACCTTTCTGGACTTATTTCTGTCTCTGGGCATTCTGTACTGGCTTAGATGTGGGACTCCGGGAACTTGGCTCAGCTCTGCATGTCTTTCACACAGGCTAGCTAACCTGGGCATATTCCTTCTCCTGTCAGCAGGAGCTCTGGTGATTATCAAGTATTTTTCAAGTAAGTCCTGTGGCTAAGGCCAGATCCAAATGGGAAGGCAATGCATGGTGACCTGCAAGGGGTGTGGAGGAACTGGAGCCACATTTGCAGAAATCTGAACACATCCCAGACTTTCACCTCCTCTCCTGGACCAGGGGAGAGTAATTCCTGGGCAAATAGGAGTGGGTTTGTGTTACAGGGACGAATGGTCTTCAAAGATGTTGCCCTGTACTTCACCCAGAAGGAGTGGCAGCTTCTGGGACCTTCCCAGAAGGATCTGTACAAGGAGGTCATGCTGGAGAACTACAGGAACCTGGCCTCGCTGGGTAAGGACAACCTCCCCACACCTCAGTTGCTGCTCAAGAGAACTTTGATTCTGACAGGCTGTGAACCTTGCAGAAGGCCTGGATGAGCTCTGCTCTAGGACTGACCTTAGAGGCTGGAGCAATTTGATGATGCTGGCTTCATACTAATACTGGTGCTGTTCACAATCTCAGTAGTGCTGCCAGCCAACCTACAAGTTCAAGTTGTGTTTGTTTGTTTTTATTGAGAAGCTCAAGTTGTTAATTCAGTTGCAGAAGGAAAGATAGAATGAGTTGGTTGATACTGAGTGCCCCCTGCCTCCAACCACACTCTCTCCCACCAATTCCTAACCTCCACTGTGATTGGCTCTAGCTTAAGTCACATTAACACAGCTAAACCAATCCTGATGGCCAATGTGTCCAGGGATGGGTCAATTGGCTGATATGGTCTATGAAGGCAGGCTCAGCTTCCTGGGAACTATTAGGGATTCCATACATAAATTTGAGCTGCTGGGATGGGGAGGTGGGGCAAGATAAAGCTGAGGAGGCAATTGTGTCTATGTTCTGGCTAGCTGTCCTTTGCATCATACTGGTGGCCACCTTCTTTCTATGCAAACATTTGGTTTGGAAAGGGATTCTGGGAAGAGGAAAACACTTCTGTCTTTTTGTGGTGCAGGGCATTTGTTTTTCAAACCGAAGTTGATCACCAGTTTAGAGAAAGGAGTTGAACCTTATGTTAAAGACATACCTGTCCCTGGAAATCCCCAGCAAGATGATAAGGGAGTCAGTGGAAGTGACACCTCCACAGGTGAGTCAGAGCAACATTGCTGATGTCTCTGTAGGAAACGCTGTCCAATCCCCCACCATGACTGGGGGCTGGGGCAGAACGGATAAGACCACAGATCAGGTTTCTGTTCAGGAAAGCTTTCCATCCTTCTAGCCTGAGAGATGTATCCACTCATGTTCTCAATTCCCACACCTTCCCCCTCCCATATCCTCTGTATCAGACTTTTAGGATTGCAGGAGACAGAAAGCCTAACTCTAGAGCTTTGGCTGACTCTTCCTTCATTACTTTTTAGTTACTCCTGTCACAGTCTTTTACCTTTTTCTTTATGTGCATGGGTGAGTGAGTGTCTTAATGTCTGGAACATATTAAAAAGTACATGTCATGTACTTAATTTTTAAGAAATATTATTACTAATCCACAGCTGTCTGCTGACTTAGAAAGACAACAGCACATTTACGAGTCACATAATTACTACCCACCATGTTTTGAGATTTTTTTTTCATTAAGATAATACATGCAATGTATTTTTGGTGTTTTAAGACAGGGTCTCACTATGTAGTTGGAGGCTGGCCTCAAACTCTTGATTCTCCTGACTCAGTCTCCAAATGTTGGGATTACAAATGTACACAACCACACCCAGAAGTTCTTGTTTTCTATACCAGATTCTGATTATACCATCACACAGCCCCCAGTATGACTTCAAGGGAAGGCACAAGCATAGTCAAAGATGTCATCATAGGCTGCTAGAGTAAAGAAATACCATGTGGTTTATAAACAATGTGGAGGTCCAGGTTCAGGGTGTCAGCATGGTCAGGTTCTGGGCAGCATTTCTTTTTGGCTGCAGACTGCTCACTTCTCATTGTATGCTCATAGGGTGGAAAGAGAGCTAGAGAGATCTCTGGTCTCTTATTAGAACAAGAACCCATTCATGATAGCTCCATTCTTAAGACCTAATTCACCTCTCAAGAGCCCCATCTGCTAATAATACCATCATAGTAGAGGTTGGTGTTTTAAAGTATGAGTCTTAGGAAGACTCAAGCCTTCAGTCATTAACAGAAATGTAGTGATGGGAGCCCTCGTAGACTGCTGGAGGAAATGGCAATCAGCAAAACTGCTTAGGAGAAGAGCCTGGTGGTGGTATCCACTAGACTTGCACACATACACACTCAATGTCCCAACAGATCCAGTCCTGGCTGCATACCCAATAGAAATGTGCAAATATGTTCACCAAAAAGTATGCTGCAAGCCAAGCACTGGTGGCTCACACCTTGTAATCCCAGCTACTTAGGGGGCTGAGATTGGAAGGATCATGGTTCCAGGACAGGCAAAAAGCTTTGTGAGACCCTCATCTCAATGGGACAAAACTGGACATGGGGTCCACCTGTCATCCCAGCAATGGTGGGAAGCATAAAAAAGGGGGAATCACCATCCAGGCCCCAAACCTTGGCAAAAAATGAGACCCTATCTCCAAAATAACCAGAGCAAAAAGGGTTGGAGGCATGAATCAAGTAGTAGAGTGCTTGCTCAGCAAGTGCAAAGTCCTGAGATTTTTTTTAAAAAGTATGATATAATGTTCATAGCAACTCTATTCAGAATGCCCCAAACTGAGATCTACCCAAATGCCTATAAATGTAAAATAGTTGAATATATTTTACCATAGTTACACAGTGAGATTCTATTAACAGTGCAAATGAGGGATTGACCCTAACACAAAACATAATGGAAGAATACTCATGTTGACATAACATTGAGTGAAAAAAAGTCAGACACCAAAGGGTATATACTATAGTTACACTTATATGATGTGCAAGATAACCTGTGCTGTCATAAGCCAAGGTCATTGGGTGTGGCAGCCATGCCTGTGATCCCAGGTATTCGGGAGGTGAAGCAGGAGGATCATGGTCCAAGGCCAGCTCCAGGAAAGTTAGTGAGAGAACCCATCTGAAAACCAACTTAAAATAAAGGACTGAGGATGTGACTTGAGTGGCAGAGCACTTTGCTAGCAAGCACCAGGCCCTGAATTAAATTCCCAATACTGCAAAAAAAAAAGTCAGGGGTCATGATTTTCCAAGGAGAAGTCAGTGTTTGGAAGGATATCAAGAGAGTGTTAGGAGTGAGAATGAGGCTGGGCTGCTTGTGTCTGAACCAGTTTGTCAACACTAAGCAAACTTTACACTTCCTATGTGTGTATGTTTATGTATATTATGTTATAATCCAATGAGATATTTCTCATCAAAAACAGAGACATGGAACAGATGTTTACATTCTCAATCTCCTTCAGGGAAGAAGACAAAGCAGAAACTAAAGACACAAATTTTGAAGCCAGGCAGTTCTAAGACTCCACAGGAGGAAAAAGTGCAGAAAATAGTCCAAAGAGATGAACCCCAGAGTGCAAGGTCAGAGAGGGCTTTGGAAAGTAAAAGCAACCCATCTCTGGACAAGCAGAAGTGTGGCCAATGTCTGACCATAGTAGGGTCATGCAAAAAAGTCTTTCTTGGCAAGATAGGCCATGAATCTGTGGTCCTAAGGAGACTTTTGAGTCAAACACCAACAACCACAACACCAAAGAGCACTCCTGGAGGAGAGAATTCCCCAAAGAAAGACATTCATGGAAAAACACAGGATGCTGCAAAACAAAAGAGTGCCCGAAAGGGTAAGAACCACTTCAAATGCAAGGAATGTGGGAAGACCTTCAACCAGACCCTCCACCTCGTGGAACATGAGCGAATTCACACAGGAGAGAAACCCCACAAGTGTGATGAATGTGGGAAATCCTTCAGGCACAGCTCTTATTTCTTCACACACTACCGGATTCACACAGGGGAGAGACCCTACAAGTGCAATGAGTGTGGGAAAGCATTCAACAGCAGCTCCACCCTCCGCAGTCACCAAAGGGTCCACACAGGGGAGACGCCCTTCCGGTGTGACGAGTGTGGAAAGACCTTCAAACAAAGCACAAAGCTGGCACGCCATCGCCGGGTGCACACAGGGGAGAAGCCCCACAAGTGTGGGGAGTGTGGGAAGTGCTTCAGCCGCAGGTCGTCTCTGAGGGAACACAAAAGAATCCACACAGGAGAGAAGCCTTACTGCTGCCGTGTGTGTGGAAAAACATTCAGAGTCAACTCCCATCTTGCAGAACATCAGAGGCTCCATCAAGAGAAAAGGCCTCACCGGTGTGAAGAGTGTGGGAAGTACTTACGAAATGCCTCTCACCTGTCAGAACACAAGCGAATTCATGCACCAGGGACCCGAGAGGAATGCCCAGAATGTGGGAAAGCCTTCCCCAGCAAGGAGACCCTCCTTAAGCATCAGAAGAACCATGAAGAAGACACCAAGCACCTGTGTCAGGGATGTGGGAAATCCTTCAGGTGTAAGTCAAGCATCCAGAGACATCAGAGGCTGCATGCTGGGGAGAAACCTTTCATGTGCACTGAGTGTGGGAAAGGGTTTACTGACAGGACCACCCTGAATAATCACCGCAAAATCCACTCTGAAGACAGGCCTGATCCATGCAGCCAGTGTGGGAGAGCCTTCAGACACCTGGCTACCCTGATGCTCCACCAGGAGATGCATGCTAAAAAGGGAAAGCCCCGTCCTGCTGTGTGAAAGAGTCTTTAGCCAGGACTCACACCTTGGTAGCCACCAGAGAAGTCAAAATGAGGAAGACTATGAAAAGTGGATATGCCCTTCATTTCTGAAAGTGTCTTTCTAGTTGACCAGTAGTTCTCAATGGAGGAGTGATTTTTATACTTCACCAACCTGAAACATTTGTGCAATATGAGGAGACATTTTTGGTGCTACTGGCAGTTGGCATCTATGGATAGAGGCCAAGGATGACAACAAACGTCCTACAAAGGTAGACCCCTTCATCTTCCAACAACAAAGAATGACCTTCCTGACTCAAGTAAAAATCCTGTGGGTAATTAAATTCAAGAAAGAATTCAGGTAGAGTTTTCTGTAGCTGCTAAGCTGTGGCTACTTAAATAAATGCAATGTCACAGTTGTATCAACCACTCAGCCCCTCAGTGGCCACTTGGGCAGTGGCTACTGTAGGGACCATCAGTGACAGAAAACACTTTCAACATCATAGAAGGTTCAATTTACTCATGTAGACCTCAGTTATCAGAATTATACACACCGTAGCCCCAAGAAAGTGAGAAAACGGGGCAGTTTTGAGACACTGAATTTGAACTGTTTTTGCAGCCAAATGGAGCATTTTCTAAGCTTTTTGAGTGTTTTGGACCCATGATATTTGGGGTGCTTTCAGGTATTGAATTGGGTAATTTCCCATTCACAGGATACCTCCCTCCTACCTGGGTCAGAGGACCAGTAGATCACTGATAATGTTACTGATAATGGTGAACACTTATTGAGCCCTTTTTACCTGTCAAACATGGTGCTGACCTAATCTCCTCCAGAGTCCTAGGAAATAAGAACTATTACAATCTCCAATTTTTAGGTGAGAAAACCAAGGCTTTTGAGAACTTTTACTTTAAAAAAAAACCCGTATTATCATTCCCAAATTTGCACATAAAGCAAGACTGTTGAAAATTTTATATTACACTTTTTCCAATAATATGCTTTGAATTTTTACAAAATGTGCCTTCATATATATGTAGTTGCATTTCTGTCTCACTGGCCTTGAGGGCAGAGAGCAGCTTGGGTTTAGGGCAACAGGAGATGACACAAAAGTGACCAAGTCAGGAAGTGGAAGTGAGCAGACTGGGTGTGGGTCAGCCACACTCTCTGTTTGCAGAAAGTTTCTGGTGCTTATGAACTTTTACAGATGGTCTGTGGTTGCTTTTGGACAATAAGTTTTTTAAGACTGAGGTCTTATGGGCCACAAAACTGAAACTGTTTGCTCTATGACCCTTGATTGAAAACGCTGGGTAACCACCTTCTGAATGAATGAGGGAAGAAATGGTCAGGAAATGGAAAAGCCATCAACAAGTGGAGGCCCTGGAAGTCTGTGCAGGCAACACAGTGTAAGTGGCATGGCTGGTGTAGCGATCCTATACACCACACCTGTGTGTGTTCACACGTGCTTTGTGACCATGTGTGCACATTGATCACGAGTTTCACTGCTTATATTTACTAAGTAAGGTTCCAGTGCTGTCCCACTTAAAAATGCCCTTTGCAACCTTCTAAATCAATTCCCTTGATCATCACGGGATGCCATCCATGTTTTGAAAAGCCCTGGGCAGTGGCTGGACAATAGATAACACAGTCAGAACCTACCTCTGTGCCCTTTTTGCTGACCCTCATGGTGGGTTATTGGAGGACTTGTCAGGAGACAGAAGGTGGAAAGTCCCATGATGCTGAGCCTGTAGCTGTGCACTTGGGAGTCAGAGGGAGGCACTAAATCTGGGCTCTACTCCTCTGCCATCTTCAGAACATCTCCTTCCATCCTTTCTTGGCTCTGGGAGGACTAAAAGGTTCACAGGTGTCTTCAGGTGAGCATGGCGAGGCCATGCCTGAAGCTATCCAAGGACTCTGTTGGGCACCATCTCTGGGAATGACCTCAGAAGTAGGGCTAGGATGGCGTTTTGAGGGGAGCACATAGTGACTATATATGACAGGTTTGTTTTGTTGTGTTTGTTATTTTCATCTGTGAAACATTTGTGTGTGGTGGGGCGGGGGATTGGGAATGGTGCATGGAGGTTCTTCCACTAGCATAAGGGCCAAATGTGACTGTATATGCTCACCAATTTGAGTTGAAATTCCTAAAAGTACATCTCGCAGTAGCTGAAGTGAAACAAACCACCCAAAGAAATTACAGACACATGCACCTCAAAGGCTCCAGGCTTGAAGGAGCTGTGGTAGGGCTGCAGACCCCAGAGCCTAGAATGGAGGGCTTCACGCAGACAAGACTTCTTCATATTCTCGTACTTTTGGAGCTCTGTGCATGTCTTCATTCTTCTTTCAACAAACAGGAGACTTCTCTGTGATGGGGAAACATGGCCATCAGGTGCCTTGACTTCCCAATCTTAGGGGAAAGAAAGTTCCTTTCTCCCAGAATCAGTCCTCAACGGAGGACCCCAATGACATTGTTGTGACTGAGGTGGGATTGGGGAGCTTCTTTGTCCTTTTTGTCCTGGAGTGATTCAAATAAGCACATACCACCTTTGTTTTGTTTTGCTTTTTTGAGATTGTTCTTGCTATGTAGCCCACCCTGGCCTTAAACTCATGATCCTGCTGACTCAGCTTCTCCAGTGCTGAGATTATTGGCATATGTCACCACTTCCAGCTCACTTTTGTAGTCTTCTAAAGAGGTTAGACTCTTGGGGGGGTGGTGCTCAGAAGAGGACCCATCTCCGAGGGACAGTTGCAAGATCCCAGAGATATTACCATCAATTCAGGAAGCTGGAGGTCACCTGGAGGAAGAGGCCACCCGGTTCTCACCCCCTAATAATAATAAAACTGGTGCTAGCATATACAATCACTAGTCTCTGTCTCAGGTATGTTTCAGTCCCTTGAAATTCATGCTTAGGGGCAGAACAGGTGGTTCCCTGAGCTGCTCCACTCTTTTTTATCCTGGTGCCTGTGTATTTCCTGAGCCTGTCCAGAAAGGGTGCCAGGAAGACACACTGAGCAAGCCTGATGCCCCTGTCCAGGAGTGGGACAGAGGCTACCAGTGCCAATGTCCCACTCTAGCAGTCAGTCTTGGGTAACAGCACTCAGAGAGTGCACTGCAGTTCTGGAAGTTCTGGAGACATCTCCCAGACATGGGGGAATTTGGGGTTGTATGGCTGGACACTGGACACCAGGACAGATTAGAAGAGTTGAAGAAGGCTGGATCCAGCACCAAGAAGGAGATGGTCAGGACCTTCCCAGGGCTGCCAGGAAGCCCAGGGGCAGGCCAGAGGGATAAACGAGGCACTGGTACTGGGCCCAGATGGGGTGTTGCTTCATGAAGCCCTGGGGAACAGCCAGGGGGTCAGACACTGTCTGAGTGTCCTTGAGCCCTGGATCTGTGGGTGTCTCTGCCCCTAGAGGAGCAAGGACAGCAGCTACCACAACAGGATGGGATTCCCACAGCACCTCCTGGGGCACAGGTGACAGAAGGTGTAGGAAGCCAGGTTTGGGCCCTGGAGCATGCTAGTCTGACAGAGTAACAGGACCTGTCCCCCCAACAAGATACAGGACTGTTCAATTGGGGACCATAGTTACTGGCTTGCAGGGCTAGGCATAGGAAGATAATTTTAGAGACCCTGAGAACAGTTTTAGGGTGCAGACATTTGGAGGTTCACAGAGGACATGTGAGAATTTCCACAGATGGAAGGGTGCCCAGCTGTGGGCACACACTGGGACCATCACCAGCATAGGGCAACCTCCTCTCTGGGATGGGTATCTGGGGAGGCGAGGCAGGCTCTGTGTCTGGTGTATCAGGAAGAAGTTGACCTCGATGTTTGGATATTGCTGAGCACAAGACGTGTTTTTGTACATCTGTGGGATGGGGTCTGCAAGTGGCTGTAAAGCTTTTCAAATAGTCTTAGTAAGGCTGTAAAGATGTCTCCAAGTTTTTTAGGGTTTTTTTTGCGGGAGTTGTTTGTTTGGCATTTCTGTGGTTTGAAGTCAGGGCCTTGCATTTGCCAGGTAGGAGCACTACCACTTGAGTTCTTTTTGCTACAGTTATTTTCAAATGGTGTCGTATATTTATCCCCAGGCCAGCCTGGACCTCAATCCTCCTATTTACATTTTTCCTGTAGCTGGGATGAGAGGCACTCCCACCATGCCCAGCTTTTATTGGTTAAGATGAGGTCTCTCTCACTTTTTGCCAAGACTGCCTCAAACAGGAAGCCTCCCAATCTCCACCTCTGGAGTAGCTGGGATTACAGGCATGAGCCTGTTTTTTGAAGGAAGCCATTGAAAGTACAAGTTCAGGTGAGTCTGCATCTAGGTAATACTGTGCCTGGAGATCATTGTGTATCTGATGGTCCTGTCAGGACCCAGCACTGCCCACCACCCCGACCCAGGTGACCAGGCCATTGTGCCTCTGGTTCTCTGAAACATGAACCTCTGTGACCTCCCTTGTCAACCTGCACTGTGATGTCTCTGAGGCCGAGGTGGGGACCCCAGCTATGGGGACAGTGATTCAGGAAGTGAGGCTGGGGTGGGGGAAGTGGCCTCACAGTTCTCACCACCAGTGGCTGTCAAATGAAGTCTGCGTGTGACCTGCGTCTCCAGCACTGTCTAATCACCGAAACACCTGTCAATACATACTCCTCATAGTTAATCACTTACTGTCCTCATTTTTTGTTTTAGAGACATTTTATTTAGACAGTTAAAATAATTAGATATTCAGAAGCAGTGTACAAAGAAAGAGAAATCAAACCATTTACTTTATCAAGTGTTTCCTCTTCTTTACAACTAAAGCGAAGAAAACAGGCATTCTTCTTGGAAAAATAAGCTATTTTTCTTCTCCACAATCACATAAACAGCTAGAAGAAATTTAATGATAGTAAGATAAATTGGGTGTTAGCTTACACATATTCATTAAAAACATAACAAGGCCAGGCACCAGTGGCTCACACCTGTAATCCTAGCTACTTAGGAGGCAGAGATCAGGAGGATCGAGGTTCAAGGCAAATAAATACCCTATCTCA